TCAAATCCCTAAAATCCAAATCCTAACACTAACCCATTGTTGCCACCTTTTCCGGCCACGACCACTATCGCTGACGTAGTCCCTGCCATCATCCTAGTTATATTCGACCGTAGTTGTTGTCGATTGGACGTCTAAATCACGTGGGATCGCGATTCTCATCCTAGGGTTTACAGGATATAAAACATCGATTCATCGTCGATCGACCATCAATCGGTCATGATTTCATAGGTTTTGGTCACTAGGGGAGGTGAGGTCGGGTGGAGATTCGTCGACGAAAAAGGGTGTTGGTCGGCGTGGGTTTAGGGGTTGAAATGAAGGTTTTCAAAATTTTGGGGTTATTTCAAAATGTATATGTTTTCTTTTTAAAAAATATATAATTTTATTTTTTAATTTTATATAAAAAAATTAAAATTATCAGATCGACATATGTCACTTAACGGAGGAAATATTTGAGCACTTATTTGGGTAGCCGAAATATTTTGATATGTATATTAATCAAAATTGCATATTTGATACTTGTATTTATCAAACATGGATCCATATTATATAATTTAAAAATAAATTTTAATTTATTATTTCATTTATTCCAATTATAAAAATTTGAATATGAAATTCATATTATACTTTTAACATTTATATATATATATAATATAATAATATAAGGTATTAAATATATGATATTTGATAAAATAAACTACTAAATTGAATAAAAAAATAAGTATCAATATATAAGTTTGTTAAATATATCAAATTAATTAAAACGATATATTAAATCTTATGATAAATTACATATTTAGTCATCTACCTATTCTCGTGGTTCAGTTTGGTCATTCAACTATTTTGTTTTAAAAGACATATCTAATGTTACGTTTCAGTTCCATTTTGATCATCTGCCGTTAAAAAAGTAACAATGATACAGATATATCACCATAAGGTAATATCATATACTTACTAAGAAAAAAATAAAAAATTATTACGTCAACAATTTTGTTTATATTTTTTAGTGATAATCAACCGAAACAGAACAAAAAATATAACATTATGTATGATTTTGAAAACAAAATAGTTAAGCATAAAAACGTAAAGTACACAAATGGTCCCCCGACTATAGGATATTGTTTTATTGAGTCCCCTGACTATTAAAAGTAACAAAATGGTCCTCAACTATAGGGTGTTGTTTTGTGAGTCTCTCGACTATTAAAAGTTACAAAACGTTCACCTGACTATTATTATGTTCCAAACTCGTCCTTTTTGTTAAAAGATAACGATCGTCTAAAGACGTTAATATAATGACTGAGATATGATAATCGTTTGGGATTATGCGATCAAATTTTATCATATATCAATCAACAAGTAAACGTCCATCTCAAAATATCATAATTTTTTAATGAAAAATGACGATTCAGGACCATTAGTGTACTTTATCCAATATTAAATGACCAAAGAATAATGTTCACCTTTGGTTTATGGATTTTTAAACTTACGAGGAGGATTGGATCTCATTTTAAGCTCAATTCTTTTCATTGGGCTGAGGCCTTTAAGAACCACTTCGCTACTAGGAAAAGCTTTCTCTCTGATCTCTGGTATTTGTTGTGATAGATGACGGAAACAATGGCGGGAAATCAAGTGGCCGCCGAGGGCTTGGCGGCCAACATAGCCGGAATGTCAAAGAGCCAACTTTAGAAATCATGTCCCAGATGAAGGCACTCTTCTACTTTCTATTTGATTTCAATTTTCCCTCTTTTCTAACGAAAGCCACTTCCTTCGCCGTCAATTCTAACTAGTAGTTTCTTTTTTATGCGCAGACACTTATAGAACAAAACCAGCAGGCGAGGCAGATGTTATCCAAAACCCTCTCTTGACTAAAGCCCTTTGCCAGGTTTCCCTTTCTTCTCTATTTATTACTTATTTTCTATATGAAAATGCCCTTTCTTTCTTTCTAAATTGGTCTTAGTTTTAGTACTGATAGAAGTTATGTGTTGGTATCCTATGCATTACTGATTGTTGGTTGCTATTATCATTAGCATTAACTCTTTAGTTTTACACTCTGATATCCAAGCTAAAGTTGTAAACTTTTGTCGCCTTTACTTGTTATAGAGATTGATATTAGCTTGTGAGAAGGAATTGAGTTAAACGGATCTGTGAATAAGTTTTATATTCAAGAATGTTGGTATGGATAAGAAGCTGTTATGGAAAATCCTTCTTGATGGGCTAATTGTAGAGTGCTGTACAGCTTGATGGGTTAACTACCCCTCTTTTGATTTAAATTGCATCTTTTCTAGATGGTGTGCGGTTGATTTAGGAGCTTCCATGCCTGACTAGATTCTTTGATTATTCTTGTTTGTTTAGGCTCAGATTATGCTTGGAATGGTTAAGCCCCTCAAATGGTATGCTTTTGATCTTTTAGATTGTCTTTGAAATTATGTGTCCGGACTGTGCTTGTGTCTGACCTTTTGCTTTTATTTTGACTCCAACCATCCATCCACCTGCATCGCAACAATCTCAGCGATCATCACAACCACCTCGTCAGTCAAATATCCAGCCATCACAATTGTTGCCAGGTCAAGTTGGGTTGCAGGAGCAAGCTGCTCCATCTCAGAACCAACCTCATGTAAGGAAACAACATCAGAACCAAACGGGGATGCAAATCTCAGTTGCTTCTGTTGCTGCTGCAAACCTTCAGTCTCAACCCATGCCGTCACATTCCCTACAAACACCGCAGCAGACGAAGGGTCATTTGAATCCTCCTGTGTCCCTTCCACGTACATCCAACTCCCAAATGTACCTCCCGTTCCTCTGAATTTATCTTCACAGCCCCCTCATCATCATCATCAAACCCCTATGCTGACATGTCCAGCCAGATGCAGCAGTCATTGCAGACAACTGGATTTCCTCATATGCCTCTGCATCCTCCAATGCAACCACTGGTTCAAATGTTGGTTTCCAGCACCTTGGTCCCTCCAGCATCTTTCACGGCCGATGTTCCATGTAAGTCAAGAGTTACATATTGGAAATCAGTATAGGGTGTCTTATTGTAACATATTCTGCAATAATCCTCTTATTGTTGAATGCTCAGTCAGGTAATAAACCTCCTTCTATCCATGGACCTTTGTTTCCACAAGGACAGCCACCACATGCAAATCAGATGCCACCTCAATCAACATATCAAACTCAGGTATGGTTGTTTGATATGTATTGGTTTGATCATTAGTGAAATACTCTTATTGGGCTGATTATAAAACAATCTCATGTTCTTTATCACGCTTAGTGGCATAACTAAGTAGATGGTTCTAAACTTCCGTTTTTCACCTTGTGTGTAGGCTATTTTTTCAATATCTGAAAAAGTTCAACAAATATGTGCTTGTTCATTGGTACCATAGCTGACACTCAGTTAAACTAATTGAATTTGTGTCTCTAAGAATCGAGGACATTTGTTTTTTACTTTCCTTTTAATTGTTGTACGTGAAGATGGAAAGCAATTGCAAGTTAGAAATGCATGTGGTTGTGATTGTAATAGCACGTAGGTTGAATTTAGGTACTTCAATGTGGAGAAAAGTGATGCATGTAATATCGCTTGCATTGTACAAAAGTCAGCAAGTAGAAATATAATTGCAGTTATCAATGAGCAGTTTATTCTGTCTTCAAAGAATTGAATTCTTGCAGCTGATATATACACGAGTTCTTGCTGAATCTAGAAAAGTAATCCATTGAGTGGAGTGAACAAAGATTATGAGTTGGTAACTGATTCTGAATTAAATAAAAGATAAAGCTTTGACAACTGAATTAAATTATCCAAATGAAAGAAGTGAAGTGATTAAACTATTTTTTATGTTATACTTAATTATTAGTTTTGCTACATTTTCCTTCTAAAAGCAAAAAGAAGTGGGGAAAAAAAAAGAATTTCTGAAAGAATAAAAGCTTAGTAATTTTACGATAATTATGCATGATTTTAGTTTTGAATGCGGCTAATAGGCTTGGATTAAGTTATATTTTAAATTTACTTATTTTTAATTAACTATGATCCGATCTTTACCATTCAACCTTTATTTTGTAGTCATTTGTGAGAAATATTATCTTAATAAGCAAATGCACAAACTGTCTTCAGACTTCGCTAATTGACAACATATTGTTTCAGACAGGGGGCTTGGATTTAGGATCCGAGTTCGGCAGCCGTGTTAGGGTATGATGCAGATGGATAGAGATCTTCAGATGTTTAGCCAGCCAGATAATTCAACACCAACACAGCTCCAAGGAACCTCTCTGTGGTTCCTGGTAAGATGGGTCCAGGAATCAGCCCCCTCCTCCTGCATCGGTAATTATCTCGACTTTCGAGTTTTCATATAAGCAGTAAATTTTCAGTAGCTCAGATAGTTGCATTAACAGTTTGATTTTCCATTGGCTCTTTGTAGTTGACTCCTGAAATGGAGAAGGCACTACTTCAGCAGGTCAGGAGCCTCACTCCAGAACAGATAAAATCTCTTGCCCAGAGCACAGGAACCAAGTCCTTCAGCTCCAGCAAGTTCTGCGCCAATGAAAATGCTGAGACTTCAGCCAGTGATGGAAGGCTTTGTTATGTATTTACCGATCAACAGACGAAAATTGATTTGTTTATTCAGTACGGCTGCTAATTTGCAGACGCAGTTCATCTTATCTGTAGGTTGGTAGCTTCTAAATTTCTTCCACACATTGATGATGTTGATCTTTTTCTGCTACTCTGTTTCTTCGGCTTTAGCAAATTAAAATTAAAAATAGAAAAATTGAGAAAAAGGAAATTAATTTCCAGTACAGTCGACACTTCTTATCTTTACTTCTTATTCTCATATTGTGTTTACTCAATTTTGTGAGCTGTATACTTATAGAGTTCTCTGATGTTATCACTTTAGATACAAAAGCGAATAATATGTACAGTTAAAACTACAAAAATAAAAAACTAGCATACTATAACTTCCTCTTCTTATCTTCCTTTTCTATTTCGAGTACCACTGGTGCTGCTGGGATGCTGAACCATCACTCTCAATCTCCTCATCCATCTTTCCGTGCTTGCTTTCCTAGGAGGCGAATGCCTCGTAAATGTCTCCAAAAATATCAGGAGAAACGTACTTTCCTGGCAATAAAGCCAGTATCAAAGCTGCAAATAGAAGAATGACCGCAAATTTCTCGCTTGTCTAGTATATTAACAACATAGCCTAAGTCAGACTAATAAAAACAGTCTAATCAGTTTTATTTGATACGATTATGGAAGTCGAAAAATCTGAGATGGTGACATGAATCGTCGACAGGTTTATAGACGATAAACAGAAATATACTATGGTGAAAAGGAGAGTGTAGAACCTTTGGGAAAATGGACAGCAACAAGGCACGAAACTTGAGATGAGCTATGTTTCCATCTTGGATAAGCTGTTCAGCTTGAGATATCGCATTCTGTACAGCCAAAAGCTGCTCCATTGTGTTCATAGGCGGAGGTGCTATTATCTTAATTTCATCCATAGGCCTGCCTTGGTTGAAACGTCGCCTAAGAGCCATAAAGTTAGCGAAAAACAACAACATCAATGCAAAGGCATAAGCCAACCATCCCATGAAATGTACAATAAATGAATGCCATTAAGATCATGCAAAGAAACACCCCAGTGCTATGCTAAACTGTCTTTCTATCAGATCAACCAATATCCAATCAAACATTTTCTTCTGACATGAGTACCTAAGCTGGTGGCATCAATAAAACATTTACGAAATTTGACTCTGAGATATCAATAGAACATTGTTCCAGCTTAACTCGGATTATTTATCATAAGTTCAGATAGACGAAATACAAGCCACCGTGCGCATTCCAGGTGAAGGTGCATCCAAAATGAATACACGAAAGTGCTAGATTATGAACAAGGACAGCAAATCAAACCCATTATTTTTAACAAACTGATTTGCAGTTGAATAATGACAAGAAACAAGATTTGGCATTTTGTAAATTCTAAAGAGAATACCTTCATAACAGCTACTTTAACCCCATCGACTGTTTCTTGTGCTTGCACCACCTTTTTATAGTTGTTACTAGACTCCTTAACAGCTCTGTCCAACAAACTCATCTCATCTACAACTAGTTCACCAACAAGAAGCCCATCCTCACTTGGAGTACTTGAACAAACACAAAACCCAAGTTTGAAACCATTGCCAAGGCTGAGATGGAGTACATGCCACCTCCAGCCACAAGATTGTTACCCCGTTCTAATTTCCTAGAATTTGACATATTTGCAAGTGTCTCCTGTATCAAATCTCCCCCAGGTAGTTGATTTCAAAGATTAAACATGAGAAGGGACTCAAACCGAACATTGTTTGAGAAACTCATTTCTTGAATGGTTTGTACCCGTAAATTCCCAGAATAGCTTTTGAAAGTGCATCACCCTTTTCAACTCCCTCAATATGGTACTTGTTTATAAATTTATGAACATCTAAAATTTCCCGGATTATTGCTAGCCAGTAATCAAGCCGAGTGTTCCCTTTAAGCTCAGGAAACTCTATAACAATTGGTTCTGATCTAAAAGAGAAACACGGTAAACAGTCAATATATAAATTATCACTACAGCAAAACAGAGTTTTAGCGGCATTTTTTAGTCCTATAGCGGCGTTTTTAAACGTCGCTAAAAGCGCTTGCGGCGATTGGAAAAATGCCGTAAGAAGCACCGCTAAAACCAGTGCCGCTAAAGTTAGCGGCATTTGAGAACCAAAAAACGCCGCCATAGGTCAAGATCTATAGCGGCGTTTTTGAAACTAACGCCACAAAAGGTTGATATCTATAGCGGCGTTTTTGGAACAAACGCCGCGAACGGTCGAGATCTATAACGACATTTTTGGAACAAACGCCGCAAAAGGTCGAGATCTATAGCGGCGTTTTTGGAACAAACGCCGCAAAAGGTCATATCTATAGCAGCATTTTTGGATACAAACGCCGCAAAAGGTCGAGATCTATAGCGGTGTTTTTGGAACAAACGTCGCAAAAGGACATATCTATAGCGGCGTTTTTGGATACAAACGCCGCAAAAAGTCATATCTATAGCGGCGTTTTTGGATACAAATGCCGCAAAAGGTCATATCTATAGCTGCGTTTTTGGAACAAACGTCGAAAAAGGTCATATCTATAGCGGCGTTTTTGGATACAAATGCCGCTAATTACCTTTCTTTGGCTAAGATTAATTGATTTTGCAATTTCATTTATGCTCTACATCACCTAAATTTAATATCATGTAGTTTTATCTAGTTAACAACAACCATACATTTTAATTAAAGCATAAGTTATGCAGAAAAATACTTAAGAACAAAATAACTTAAAATTTATAAATATTAAAATTAAATGTAATGTAGTTTGACATTGTTCTCTAGGATTTAGTCTAGGTTCTTTCACTTTTAATTAAAAAAAATATTGTTCACTAGAATTTAGTCTTAATTGCTCTTTCAATTAAATCTACTAGCTCCGGTTCACTATCTACTTTAACACAAAGAAAAAGCTGTTGTGCCAAAAATGGCCTCATCCTGAGCTGCTTTCAGTTGCTCCTCCCTCCTTGCCTACATGTAAACACAACACCAGTTATGCTAGAGCAACAAAACCAATTGTCTCCCACAAAACACAAATAACATACATACAACATAACAGGTATGAATGAATATCAATTGGAATTTGAAACAAGGACAGATGAAAAGGAATGATGCATCACCTCTATAGCAAAAAACTGAAAACTCCAGCTAATATGCTTCACTAATAATGCATCATCTTCAGTAACTGCCAACAATGAGGCACATGAAGTAAGTTCTAGTACACCTTTGTTCACTCCAAGATTACAAATATTTCAAGCTAAAGGTTGCAAAGTGAGCTCGAATATATAAATTTATAAGTGAAGTACATATTCAATGATAATCATTGATTATTATAAACCAATAGATTCCCCTAAATAATTGAACATTGTCGGTTTTCAGATTATTATACAAAATCAAAACATTACTTGAGAAACGAGGATACTTTAGTTTATTCCTAAAATAATTATTCAATTCAATGTAGGTAAAAGATCAATAGTTTGATTTACAAATTTCTTAACTTCCCCTTAAAGCTTTAAACAAAAGCAAGGGAGTTACAAGAATTCTTCTTGTGAAGGGAAGAGAACTGAGTGCAGAGAGGCCTTACATGCTTGTAGGATTTACGTTATGGGAGGGCCTAAAACAATAGATGGTTGACCAGCAAGAAAGAGTCTAAAAGAGGTGAAAACAGCTTTAGCTTCTATAAAACTTGAGGGGAAACCAGTAAACTTCATTTTATGTCCAGCCTTTATTAACTCTCGACAGCAAGTATATATGAATTATGATTTACCTAGATCAAATGCTTGATAGTAATACTCATCATTACTTATGAGGTTTAACATCTAATACCTGTTAAATTTTATATTAAATAGCCAAATCTCGTTCCAAATATTCATATTACATAACAATGTAAGCAGTTCAACATTTTTTGCATGTATTATTCTTATAAAGTTTGCAACCTTCTCATTCATATCATCCATTTTTTTCTGATTCTTCAGATTCCTAAATAATATTGCCTCCGATGGACATAAATATAATCCAAGACTAAACTTTAGTTAACAAATTGATTGTTGAGACCAATGAAGAGAATGATTGTAATAGACTCAATGAACGGTCGATAACAGAAAACAGGCATACATATTAAACTGAAAGTACTATATTAGAGGTAATTAACTTCTTAAGTCCTATTGCTACTTGAAAATAATGGGGGTCCAAAATTTTAATTCCAACCAGCTACTTGAAACATAGTTTAGAAAAAGTCACATCACCATTATTAAAGACTATTATTGTTGTGAGATGTAAAACTTGAAACTAATAGAATTCACAATGAGAAAATGGAAAGATAGTCGTCAACACACATATGCAGTGCAAGGAAAGGATGATAAAAGCAATCAACATCATCAGCAGGATTCTGAAACGTTTGGTTTGTACTTTGAACTTGAGCAAAACGTAAGCTAGAGAGGAGAATATAGATAGTGAAAATCTATTACTTTTATCATAAGAGGTTGTACTTGGGGTTGTGGACATACCATAACAATATCTTGGGGATCCACCTGTCAAAAGAATGATTCTAGTAGTTATTTCATATTTTGAATTGCAAATGAATTTATGTACCAATGAAATAATAGAAAAGTAAAGGGGTCAAAAAGATGTCAGACAACAAATCTCAAAGGATAAGAAAGGCTACTTGGAGGTCACTGCATAGAAGAGTAATACCATCAGCCAGTATCATATCTGTGTCAGGATCTGAATAACATATGTGAGTAAGTTTTTTTTTTAAAGGAGTTATGCAGGCTGCTAAATATAGCCATGGTATCAATCAATGGAAAGTAAGTTGCATAAATGAATTTCAGGATTTCATCGAAATGAAAATAAGAGTATATCAAAATCTCAAAGAACATAAAGAAATTCAGCAGTTTTCTCTGTTATGTTCAATCAAAAATACTAAACTAAAGCAAACCACAAATTATTAAGGCAAACTGTAAAATAGAATTTTCTTCACTACAATTTGTTGAAACATTTTGATATTTCGATATAACAAATTAAGTTAAATGGATTTTAAGATTTTCCAAATGATTTTCTAAGTATATTCGATATAACTATTCGAATATCAAAACATTACTCCAAATATTTCAAAAATCATTTTTAATCCTTACTTAAGTGTAAAATTAAGTTTTAATCATAAAACAATTTCAAAATAATTTTACAAAGTAGTTCGAACCAATTCAAAGTCAAAAATTCCAGATTGCTCAGAGGGAACCGATTCCCCCCCATAGGAGGAACCGATTCCCCCTGAATGGTTTGGCTCCGAGATTTCCAGAATGCTCGGAGGGAACCGATTCCCCCATAGGAGGAACCGATTCCCCCCTAAACAGTTTTGTTCCGAGAATTCCAGTATGCTCGGAGGGAACCAATACCCCCCAAGGGGGTACCGATTCCCCCCTTGTACAACGGTCGAAATATTTGAATTTTACACTTAGGAACCGATTCCCTTCAAGGGGGAACCGATTCCCCCCACACTCCAATCTGTTTTATTAAATGTTTTCACACTAAAACGGCTATAATATCTTCTCTAATCATCCCCAACGTTCAGAAGTGATCCAAAGTGTATTTAAGCAAGCTTAGAAGCCATTGATCAACAACAAGAAACATCAAGCAACTAGAATCAAGAGAGAATCAAAGAGAAAGCATCAAACCTCAAGTTTGAGCATTTCAAGCCTATTTTCATTCAATATTCATTTTGCTTTCAAGAACACTTTTTGTGCTCAATTGTATTCATCTTTGAGTGTTCTTTTCTTTGTTCTAGAATTGTGCAAACATCTTACCTTGTGAGGTTTTCTTGTAAGTTTGCAAATTTGTAATCTTCTCTTTGAGAAAAGAGTGTTCTCAAGAGTTGGTGTATACTCTTGAGGGAATTGTAAGGTTATCTCTTTGGCCTCAAAAGAAAGAACAAATTAGTGAATTTGTTGGAAAATCCTTAGTGTGGATAGCTAAGGTAATGGA